CAACCGGATCTTTCTGCAGCTCCCCTCTATTTTTTAGACGGAGGAATTCTCATCAAAAATAAAGTTCTAACAAAACTCTACACACGGTGTATTCAAAACCAGTTGATTGTTTAGGGTTATTACTGCTAATTCTATCATCATTTTTTTGTTCCAAATTTATTCCCAAAATTTGAATTTTATGTCCTAGACTATCTATAGCCCTTTTAGTAGCACGTCATGATTAGGCACCCAGCCTGTTCGCTTGCTGGTTTCAGACAAGATTTATCAGTCAACCAACAATATTTTTCTCTAACACAACAAAAATCAACAACAACCGGCGAACAGTCTCGGTACCGTCTCATACTCGTTTCGGAGGTGGTTGGCTAGGGTCTTTAATCGCGCCGGAGTAGTATGGTGTTTCTTTCGCTAAATACGCCAATCAGTCTTTGGTCCGATGCCGATGCCGATGCTGATGCGCGCGACCGTGCGGTATAGACGTGTCTGTAGTCTTTTTCCGTGGTCCACACCCCAGCCCAGCCGGGGATTTCGTGTAGCGTAGCGCCAAGACCGTGGGATCCATCCCAGCCCAACGAGTCTCCTACCGGCACGGCAAAGGAACCATGCCGATCCCCTTCACCCACCTCTCGTGGCGTCACTATTTCGCCCAGACGGACGGAATCCCTTCTCATCTCATGATTCACCTCACGCCATTGAAGAAAAAGGAAAAGGCAGGAAGAGACGGACGGGATAGATACAGTTGCAGGCGGCAACGCCAGAGGGCAGAGGCAGACCGTCCCAGAAAGCGAAGCGATCGAGTGCCGGCCCGCCCGCTGGTGAGGTCACGGTCAAAGCGAGCCGCCCCGCGCAAGCGGCAGGGCTGGTGGATGGGGATGGATGGCGTTGGCATCGGCACATTAGCATGGCACTGGGGCACCCCTCTTGGACCACATTGACCGGTCAGACCCCGGGCCACGCGGGCAAGCACGCTGCCCCCCGTGCATGCGATACGGATGCGGATGCGGATGCGGATGCCCGGTGCGCGCCCTCTTCTCAGTTGTCTCCGCGCCGCTCCCACCTCCCAGTCCCGGCGTGGGTCTCGTGAGCCCCGCACCGCCGCTCCTGTCGCCGATCCGGATTTAGGACGCGTTCTTTAATCACGCTCAGCTGACTGATTAATAATTAATTAAAGTACTAGCTGACTGATCAATAAAGCGCCGTCTCGAGCCGGGCTTGGAGCTTTGGATTAGCATCTGCCATCTGCCGGGGCATCGTGATGATCATCCGTGCGCTTACGTCATGTTCGTTTACGCTGGTTTGGCTTATAAACCATGGCTGAAAGTATTATTGGTTGGTTTGATGTGAGAGAAAAATATTATTCATTGGCTGATAAATCATGACTTATAAGTCGAATATGACCAAACGAACATGCTGTTAACTTATTGCTGCTCGCGCGGACGCCGGTGCCACCGCTTTGTTTATGCCTGCTGGCCCTGTCATTTGAGCTAGTTTTTCAGGACGTTGCTTTCTGCCTCTGGGGAGCAGACCGGTTTAGCAGCGCGGTCGCAGGCTTTGGTGTTTTTTATTTTATATATAATCGAAAAGGCGGCAGGGCCTCAAGGACCGTGTAGCTCCAGTCGTAGTAGGCACATGCACGCGGGTTGTGGATGCCGAAAACCCTGAAAAGAATCTCCAAACAATTGCAGATTGGACTGCTGGCCGGGTCGGCTTTCTCCGGTTAAAAATTGGGGCTGTCCAACGTTGTGTTACGTTTAGGTTAGGTCGGTCTTGTGCATCCATGCCTCCGCAGCAAGTAAGCACTAGGCAAGTGCCCCGCAGGCGAACAGTCCAGCAAGCGTTCTTCAGCCTCACCTGAAACGTGACCAAACTAATCTCAACTCTCACCTGTCGCTGCGAGGACGCTGGGGTGCACCGGCCCGTCGGCATTGCCATGCTCGGCTGCCCCACGACGACACACCACCAAAGCAGGAGCTGATGCGGGGCTTTTGCTGCCGTGCTGAATGCCTGATCCCGATTCGTGTCTCGGCCGGCAGGACCGCAGGAACGTGGCGCCCATGACCGCGCGCGCAGGCGACCGTCACCCTGAGCCTGCGTCACTCGGGGCTCGGGAGGACGGACGTACTACTACGTACGTCGCGCTCCTGTGTCCGCACAGTCGCACGTTGTTGCTGGGTCAGTAGGTCAAGGCCGGCCACGCGCAGTCGCGCACTGTGTGCCCGCCGCGCCGCCGCTGTGGTGTGCCGCCCTGCCCTCCTCCCCGCCAGCGCCGGCAGCGGTGCGCACTGTGCCAGCCGGCCGGACGTGCCGGGCCAGAGCGTATCCGGGCCTCGGTGTCGGGCAGAAACGGAGCAGCTGAGTCGAGTCGTGGCGAGCCGGGAGGAGCACGCAAGCAACAACAGCGGCCGGTACGGTACACTACATCCCCGTGCGGCTGTGCGGCATCAGTGAAGTGGTCGCGGGCAGCCGACGCGTCTCCGTCTCCGTCTCCGTCTTCCGTGTGCGCTCGTCGTGGCGTCCACCACTCGCAAGCGGCAACCCCGCGCGCGTTTTTAATGCGGCGCGTCCGTTCGATCCAAATCGATCGTCTCGTACCGGAGCCTTTGACTTGCGGCATCCGCACGCTTGCGCGCGTACGCACGTCGTATACGTCACGTACCCTCTACGGTTGGGTGGCGTTGAGATCACCGGCCAGGTTTAAATTCCTGTGCGTACCGGCAGGAGTAGAGAGAGGAACGCATTTGAATGCTCGGATGGAGCGGAGCTTTGGGCATGCACGTTCAGCTTGGCTTTCCTGCCCTGTAGCGCCCCCTCTACTTTTGCCTTTAAGTTTTCGGGCGCCTTTTTCTTTATTTTTCTCGTCTGATAAACCGATACTACTAAAATCTTTGCTTCGGTAACGGTCTCGCCTCGGTCAAGGTCGTACCGGATCCACTTGCTTAAAGGTTTGTTTAGTTCCTCTCCTAGAGTTTACTCTCTGTCTCATTAAATATTTAACACGTGTATAGAGTATTAAATAAAGACTAAAAATAATTAATTATATAGTTTACGATTAATTTACGAGAAAAATCTTTTAAGCCTAATTAATTCATGATTTAATAATGTGGTGCTATAGTACAGATATGCTAATGATGAATTAATTAAGCTTAATAAATTAGTCTCACGGATTACTGACAGATTCTATCATTTTTTATTATTATTATTAACACGCTCATATGACATCCTGTCGTAACACCTCCAAACTTTATTGCTAGATTTTAAACAAGACTAAAAAAAAGAGAGGCTCCTCCGACCTGGCGCCGCTGCACGTGTGGTGTCTGGCCATCTTTTCTCTCCTCGGCGTTTCAAAGGGCAAGGCTCTTCTTGGCTACCGTCTTCCCAGCTCCGTCAGGCTAACGCTGACTGTCAGACCAAGCGCGGTAGCAACCATTGAAAGCGAGATACGGCGAATCCACGGCAGCCAGGCCTGCCAAATTCTGTTTGACGCTCCTACAGGGGGTGGGGGTTTGTCGTTAGGTTTGAAATCACTCAGCATTTCTCAGTCGGTCTGTTCGTTGGTTGGTTTCTGAATTGATAAGCTCAGCTAACGCTAGTTTGGTTTCTGAATTGATAAGCTCAGCTAATGCTAGTTTGTTGTGAGAGTAAAACATTATTTACTGACTGATAAACCCTGATTAAAATAAAACACTATTTAGTGACTGACAAGCCCTGACTGAAACCATCAATTGACCTGAGTGATTTATTACCCCGGTAGTAACAAGTCAGTACTGGTACGTCTAATTGAAGGGCAAAATGGCCAACAGACTGAGCACGCGCCGTCCGATGTAAGCGTAGCGTGCCAAACGTGGTGGTCGCGGGCCACGAGGGGGTTCAGCCGTGGCGGTCACGGTGACCGGTGATATCAGCCAGTGCACGCACGTGCTGCCCGCGTGCCGAGAGGACTACGCTGCGCGCGCCACGCCGTCGTACACAGTACGCACGCTCTTCTGACCGTCTGGTCTTTGCTTTCGTCTCGCCCTCCTTCACCTTCACCCGCCCTTACAGAAAAAAAAAAGAACTGAATCGAGAAAAGGGTAAAAACGCGATACCCGTTTCTTCGGAATGGAACCATGGAAGCAGAGGTCACATCAGGCTAAAGAAGGCCACCACGCAAATATACATGCCGCCATTTTCTGCAAGATTCTACTCCTACTGCATGTGGTACGCCTACATCTTGTGCTCCGTGGCTTTTCTTGGTCTATGCTTCTGGCATAGACCAATTTCCCGTTTCTGTCAGTAGCATGAGCAAAAATGAAGGAAAATTTTGTATTAGAGAAAAAAGAATATAAAAGAAAAGCAAAAAAAATCCAGTGGGAGGACAGGGGGTGTGCAGGGAGGCCCACCCCACACGCGAAGTGTCAGTGAGTGTGCAAAGGACCCTGGTCCCCACATTTCCATCCAATCCCCTCACTCCTCAGTCCCCACCTCTGCCCTCAAACACACACACACAAAAAAAAAAAATCCAACACAAATAATACTCCCATCTGGATATTCTTGCTCTCTCTTCCTCTCCCTCTCTTCTTCTCCGGTCCACCCAATTGGACTAGATCTCAAATTCTCCCACAGTTTCCCACTCCCCGTCTCCCCCATCCCCCGCCGCCCCTCCCGTCTTCCCCTTCTTCTCCCCCATCAGATCTTCCCCATATCTCTGTGCTGCATCACTCGCCGCAATCCACTCCCAATCCAAAACCGAAAGCTCTCCGCTCCGCCTCCCTGTTCGCTCGTCCGCCTTTTGACTCTCCCCTAACTAGCTGCTGTTGCGGAGCAACCCGCAATTCCAAGAAAAAGCAACCGGTCAAGAAAGAGTGGAAGAAAGGAGGATGGTGATGATGATGGCGATAAGTCACCCCATGATTCGCCCCATCATTCCGTCGCCTCCGAGGCCTGCGCGCTGCTAAAAGGGCCTCGCCGTCCGTCGTGGTGGTGGTGGTGTGCGTGGGCGGGGACTCAGTCGCTGCGCCGCCACAATGCCGCAGTACCAGGAGCTGCCCTGCGGCGGGCAGGTGCTCGACATCGACACGGCGCTCAAGGATGGCATCCTCGGGGGCGCGCTGGAGCCCATGGATGCCGCGGCGGGGGACGCCGGCAAGCAGCCTGTGGAGCTCCGCAAGATGATGGACGAGCTGGACGCGGCCGTGGACGGCGGCGGCGACGAGGCGGTGCCGGCGGTCTTCATCTGCCCGATCTCGCTCGAGCCCATGATGGATCCGGTGACGCTCTGCACGGGGCAGACGTACGAGCGGGCCAACATCTCGCGGTGGCTCGCCCTGGGCCACCGGACCTGCCCGACCACGATGCAGGAGCTCTGGGACGACGCGCTCACCCCCAACGCCACTCTCCGACAGCTCATCGCCGCCTGGTTCTCCCGCCGGTACACTCGGTTCAAGAAGCGCTCCGCGGACTTCCACGGCCGCGCCGCCGACCTCGTCCACAGCCTCCGGGGCATGGCGGTGCCCAGGCGGCAGCCCCTCAAGGGCCAGGCCCGCGTCGCGGCGCTGCGGGAGCTGCGCACCCTCGCCACCACCCACCAGTCCGTCACCAAGGCCATCGCCGAGGCCGGCGGCGTGGCCCTGTTGACGTCGCTGCTCGGCCCCTTCACGTCCCACGCCGTGGGGACCGAAGCGGTCGCCATTCTTGTCAGCGGGGTGCCGCTTGATGCTGACGCCAAGGCCGCACTCATGCAGCCGGCGAAGGTGTCTCTCGTGGTCGACATGCTCAACGAGGGCGCGGCGGACACCAAGATCAACTGTGTCCGCCTCATCCGCATCCTCATGGATGAGAGGGGTTTCCGGCCGGAGACGGTGGCGAGCCTGAGCCTCTTGGTTGGTGTCATGCGCCTCATCCGGGACAAGCGGCATCCGGACGGTGTCATCGCGGGGCTCGAGCTGTTGAATTCGATCTGTGCGGTGAACAGGCCAGCGAGGAGTATGATTGTTAGCATTGGTGCAGTGCCACAGCTGGTTGAATTGTTGCCGGAGCTAGCAACGGAGTGTGTCGAGCCGGCCCTGGACATCTTGGATGCCCTTTCTGCAGTTCCAGAGGGGAGGATGGCTCTTAAGGATTGTCCGCGGACGATACCCAATGCTGTCCGCTTGCTGATGAGAGTTTCAGAGGCATGCACGCGAAGGGCGCTGTCGATGCTGTGGACGGTGTGCCGGATGTCTCCTGAAGAGTGTGCACCTGCTGCTGTGGAGGCGGGGTTGGCCGCGAAGCTTCTACTTGTCATCCAGAGTGGTTGTGCACCGGAGCTGAAGCAGAAAGCGTCGGAGCTGCTCAAGCTGTGCCGCCTCAACTACACTGACACCCTCTTCATCTCCAAGTGCAAACTCACAAGGACAATTCAGTGAGGAGATGGAAATGATGCTGCTCTGATGTCATTTGATTCGATGATGCGTGGTTTGTCGATTGACCTTGCTGAGTTCAGAGTTCCAAGGAAATGGAATTGCCAAATTGACGAATGGTAATGAGCATGTATAGATAAACTTGCAGATTTAGCTCTATCATCTTATCTGAAGAGATTAGGGTGGTTGAGCAGATGGCGAGACTGGTGGTTACCATAACAATTTGCGGGGAGACAAGAAGCAATGCAGCATAGTTACTAGCAAGTTAGATGGCAAGCAGGCGGGTGTACATGCAAATTGATGTGAATTTGATCAGCTCAATAAACAACTGAGGCTGGGTGGTAAGTACAGCCAGTTTTGCCATTAGGAGAAGCAATGCAGCATAGTTATTGGCAAGTTAGATGGCAAGCAGGCGGGTGTACATGCAAATTGATGTGAATTTGATCAGCTCAATAAACACCTGAGGCTGGGTGGTAAGTACAGCCAGTTTTGCCATTAGGAGTAGCTAGCATTAAGCAAAAGCAGCAAATTTAGAATTTTGGCAATGTGGCCTGTGGGTATGTCAGGGCTGTAGATGCTGTTCCCGTCCTTGTAATTACACAGTACTGTTGCTTCTACACTGGAATATACATTGCCATTGCTTGGGGAAATTTTTTGAATTGTCCATCTTGATCGACTACTGCCTAGTCAAATTGGGGAAATGTGCTCTTTCCCTGTGGCGCATGCTAAAAAGCTCGATGCTGCGTTGCTACTGCTAAAGTCTAGGCTCTGTAGTGCTTCAGCCAGTGTTCTTATTTCTCAATGTTATTAGCTCCATGAGTTGCAGCATCTGATTTAATTTAGCAATTATCCGATATAATTTAGTACGGAGTAAGTAGTACTGCCATAACCGCATACCGAGCACTCTTGTTAGATAGCATCACAGTCCTATTTGTTGCTGTTGTATCGTTAGGGTTTAAATTCTGCGTGCCAACTGATGAACTGAAGTTGGGGTCAGTTCAAGATGTTCCTGTTGCATCTCTTGTTTCCTTGAGCTGTGGATGCAGGATCCATGTCCCTCGTAGCCGCATTCTACCTGCATCCTGGGAAAGCTGGTCTTATACATCAGGCGATCCACCATCAAGATGTCTGTATTTTTCCACTCCCTAGCCAGCGAGGGTAAGATAAAGCCACGGGACAGTAGAGCCTACTAGGGCCGTCCATGATTGATCGGAGCGTCCGGCTTTTGCTTTACGCGGCCAAAACTTTGCAAAGCAACAGGGGATCAGACAGGCACCATCAGAGGGGCGCTGCTCTCTCGCCGCTGGCGCAGCTGTAGGCGGGGGCGCGAGCCTAGCTATCTGGCACTCCGGCTTATAGCGGGTGGTGATGGCTAGCAGTAGCAGTAGCCGCCACCCAGCGTACAGTAGCCCTAGCTAGCTCCGGAGCTGGTGAGTGAATGGTGATGGTCACTTTGACCTGGGAGCGAATGAAACGAAGGAAGCAGCCGTCGCCGTCGCCGTCGCGTCCTGCTTTCCGAAACCCACGACGCGACGTCTCCGTGTCCGACGCGAGCGCACACGCCAACCCCCCCCCCCGGCACGTACAAGCTGTCCCTTTTCTCGCGCACACCCAGCTAGGAGGACGTGCGCGCGGGTGAAGAGAGGCCGGCCTCGCCGCCTCAGGCGCGGGCCGTGGCCGTGGCCGTGGCCGTGGGCGAGCGGGGTCAGCTTTGCGGGGTTAGGAGGCGAGTGACGTAGACTCTCCGTTCGCTTGGCTTATAAGCCGTATTTTTTCAGTCAACGAACAATACTTTTCTCTCATATCAAATCAGTCAACGATAACTTATCAGCCAAACGAACGGGACAACTGTCGATGGAGATTGGCTTGTGGCAACGCTGGAGCTGGAGCTGGACCACGAGCGTGCGCCGATCGGGCCATTGATTGGCACGTTCGTGGGGTGCCGGACTCGATGTGCCGAGGCAGGCGCGCGCGAGTACAATCTGGACGGGCACGGACCGACGGGTCTCGGGTGTAGTTGGAGCCTTTATACTTGCAAAAGCACGCACTAGCCCCAGTGGCCCTGATGAGGAAACAACAATAGTGTTTGGTCAATCGCGTCTCGGTGGGGTTTGGATGGAGGGCCGGAAGGCATCGATCCAAGTACATGCTACATGCAACATTACACACTGCGCGAGCCACTACACCGAGAACGTGCTGTTGCGTGGTCTGTCTCGCCCCTCCCTCGTTCCCCATGCCGTGCTGGTGTGGTGTAGTGCTACGGCTGCTGCCGAGCCCTGACCTGCTGAATGGAACTGGGCGTTGGCCGGGCTCTGTGTGTATGACGACGCGAGGAGGAGAGGGAGGGAACCCCCCCCCTGCACTGCTGCTGCATCACTAACGGCGGATGCTCCATGTGCAATCAATACTGGAGTGTTCAGAGCAAAATCTCTGGGACTGGCTCTGGAGAAAAGATGTTTTTTTGAAAATTTTGATCCTCTGCCGCACTGGCGCCTCTCCCACTAGCCCATGCCTTTATTTGTTACCGCAAAAGGGAAGAAAAGAGCTCACGCCTCACGGTGAAGCTGACTGAAACCCAGCCATCCGCCATCGTCGGACTGTTAACCACGCACAAGATCAATGTGATCGCTGAACGTCGGGTGGATGGCGGAAACACCCAGTGCTTGACGCCTTGACGAACTCAAGTAAAGCGGCACATACAAAACAAGCCAGGAATACCGAATACGCATGCTTGCTTGAAGTAGGGCGTACGTATCATGACATATACAGTGTATACGTCAGGGGAAGATGCCGGCCGGTCGGTGGATAAAGCGTGGACGCCTCGTGTCGTGTATCTTTTGCGTAGCGCTTGAACCTCGTGCTTCCACGGGCCGAGGGGCCAGCTCAGCCGCATGCAGCCGGCCGGCGCGCGCCAGAGCACAGGCACAGTACAGCGCCAGCCGGCAGCCCGCAGGCCGATCGATTGATCGGTCCGTCGACGGCTCGACGCAGCGAGGGCGCCTGCACTGCATGTAGCGGCGGTGCAGAGGCGCAATGATGGTCGATTCATGCACTCCTGTGCCCGTGGACTTTCGTGTCCAGAGGCTCCTCCTCCGTACTACGCGCCTCTGCCGACTGTCAACCTCGTTTCGTCGTTGGTTGATGCGAGTTGTCACTCATGGGTCATGGCTGCCGGGCCTGAGGCCTGAGCTCATCTGAATTCAGAGTACTTCCTAGCGCTCTGGCGCCACCACAGTCCGCTTTGCCTACGTAGAGGACCGTGACGTCAACCATGGTGTGAATTAGGCAACTTAAAATTTTACTTCTAGAATATAATTTTTTTTTCTAACCTTAGCAAAACATATGTAAAAGATAAATTATCTAAATGTGCAACTATAGTTTTGCTAGTGTGTTGCCATCTCTACCGTAAAAGTAGTAATACAATCAATGTAAATGCGAAAGCTAAAGAGCAAGGTAGAGATATGCAAACTCCCGTCGATGACTCCGGTATTTTTACCGAGGTATCGAGAAGTGCGCAAGCTTCCCCTAGTCCTCGTTGGAGCCCCTCGCAAGGAGTCCCTCACAAGGGCCAAGCTGCCGGTAGGGTAACTCCGTGGATAGCCTCGGGCCTTCCCCACGCGCAAGTGGGTCTCCGACGTACCTTCCGGCAAGCCTCTCCCGGATGCTCCCCGCCGCCTTCACTATCAAGCTTTCGGCCGAAACGCCACGGGCCTTGTTCCCTCCGGTACACGGTGGCGGCCACACCACAAACGCGGTTGGTATGATCTCGCAAGACTATAAGCCCCTTCGATGTACAACAATAGTGCGCGCAAGCACCGAGTGGTAAGAGATATGCAAACCTCACTAAACACTAGGCCTAATCATAGAGCCAGCGCATAAGCGGTGTTCTAATCAACCTAAGCACTTCGCAAAGCACCTACGCTAATCATCTAATGAAACACTAAGCACTATGCAAGTAGAGATCACTAAAATAGTGTATCAACACCCTAAATATGTTTTCTCAGCTCCACACTACTCAAATGGCCGGTTGGGGGTTCTATTTATAAGCCCCACTAAGAAAGTAGCCGTTGGGGACGAAATCCCGCTTTTCTGCTACTGACCGGACGCTGATCACATCCTGACCGGACGCGTTCGGTCGTCCCGACCGTTGGAGCCGTGATCCACTGATCGGACACTGCCAGCGTCCGGTCACATGCCACCGGACGCGTCCGGTCGCATTTTCGCCGCTCTAGAACCTCTCTGTACTCGACCGGACTCTGCTGTCCTGCGTCCGGTCGATCTGCTGCCAGCGTTCGGTCCAGCGTCCGGTCACGCCTGTTGCCGAGCCTCTTGATCGGAGCGTCCGGTCACTTTCCTCTAGCGTCCGGTCACCTCTGTGAGCTCGTTTCTTCACGATCTTGCGTACGACTTGGTTCCTATCTTCGTGGTTGGACTTTGCTTGATATCTTGGGTATTCTCTTATGGTCATAGGGTCTTGCTTATGTTGTTGATCATCGGATTACCACGTTGACTTTGTCCAAGTCACATCTTGCACCTTATTGAACTACAAAATAATCACTTTCAAATTTATTAGTCCAATTTGGTTGTGTTGGTCATCAAACACCAAAATCCAAAGTAAATGGGCCTAGGGTCCATTTTCCTTATAATCTCCCCCCTTTTGGTGATTGATGACAACACGACCAAAGCAAGCAAATAATAGAATTTTGAAAGTTAAAAACTACCTACTTGCTAGGATGGGGCAAGGTTATATGATGTTAAAAAGATACTACTTGTAAGACTAAAAGGTACTACATAAAAACTTATCTTGCCCTTGCAAAATGTCTCCATGTGGCATTATGGATTTAAGCCTTGCTTCCTACAAATCCTCCTCATTACATAGACTAATCCATAATCCACTATCCTCTCTTTCTCGGAACATTATCATTTGTAGACACCACTTGTAGACCATTACCACTTGTAAATTATTATGATCTAGCTTTTGGTCGTACAAAATAGTGCTTGCTTTT